GAGCACTCCCCGGCGTAGCATCCATTGGATGCAGTCGCCCGTGGGCCTTTTCCTTATCACCCTATCCTCGCCCACCTCCGTTGCTACCAACTTTAATACCTTTACGAGTTCCGTGAGCTCCATCGCTGCTGCCTGCAGCCGATCACGTCGGGGTCACCACTATGTAGCGTTCGTTACATATCAAGGCTATACCGACGGATCTCCAGCCGACCCGGGCTGGGGAAGGAACAGTCAGCACACACAGTGTGGGTGTTCAGCTTCAACGTTTATTGCGCAGTAGTTTACCTTTATACTCCCAGCAGTAGGCGTGTCATGTTATAAGGGGCGGAGACAAGGGAGGGTCAACCCTTAACTCTTTCCGTACAGCGCGTGATCTTCCGGTCGCCAGCCCTTATCTTTACTACAAGAATGTTATGGAATAAATTAATCAATTGTAAATTTGATATACAGACATTCTTCTCCAGCTTGCTCTCTGTTCTGTAAGGCAGCTTCTACATGACAGAGATGATGGAAATATTTGCCTCAGGCATAATTTGTAACCTGGTCTGTGTCACAGGAAGCTAAATGTTACTTCATAAAGATAGCTTTATTTTTTTCTCAGTTGTTTTAGATCCCAGGCATGTTTGTATGCAATGATTTAATGATGAATTATTAAACTGTTTCTAGCACCATGAAAAGTTTATGGAATTGTTAATGCTTATCAAATTCTACCAACTTGATTGCTGTCAATGTGAGGCACACCAAATAAATAAATACAGACACTAGAACCCCTTTCTTTATCCATTATTATTTCTTTATCCAGTATTATTATTTCCATTATTATTTCTTTATCCAGTATTTTTTAGTCATCACAATTATTTCTATTTTTTTAAACATAGGATCCAAAGGCAAGTTATGATTTCAATGACAACGATCACGATCCCTTTCCTAGATATGACACAAAAACCAAAAACAAATGAGTAATCTCCCAGTTGTGTAAAGAGAACAAAGCTGTACACTATTACTTTGTGTCTTAGGACATGCAAATATAGAAATATCTATATCTTGTATGACAGTTATATATGAAAGGAAAAATCCTTATAACATTTGCACAAACACTGGAAATTAAGGAAATTAAATTCCAAGGTGAAGAGCTTTTCAATTTTAATCTTCCTTTAATGTCCTGAAATTCACCATGTCTGTTTGTAGAATGACATCTACCTAAGCAGATTTTGCCTTCAGTTTGCTGACTTGCAATAAGAATGTTAAGAGAATACATATCTCCTGTGAATTGCTCTGGAGGAAATTGTTTCTCAGAGAAACTTGCCAACCTACCAAAACCTCCATCCCTTCAGGTCAGCTCTTGTAGCTAAGGATGCTGTTTTCCGGTACTGGCATTACCTTTTGGACAGGTAGAATAGCTTCTAGCTCTGTGCATACATGCACAGGTCAAGTCATGCTTCTAACTTCTTCCTCTCATATGGGTGTGACTCATGGTCAGACACTGAAAGAGGTTACATGCACTTCCTGGATAATCTTTCTGTCTCTTCTGAAGAAAAAGGCAGATGGAAGTCTTCTGTAGACCAGATTTGGACTAAATGTCCCCAGGGAGACAGTAATAAATTAGGAAGTTTCAGAAGGCTTGAACACAGACAAACAGCCAGTTCACTTAGTGGAACTGTGTGGCTTGGAAGGAATGAGGAGTTTTCTCCTATGCCCTTTCTGGTACCTCTTCTACCACCAGTACTAATTAATGGTACTTCTTCTGGTACCCTTTCTACCACCTCTCTGGTGGTGATGGGACTGTCACACCTAGGCTTATCCATGGTAGTTCAGGGAGGGATTTTGTCCATCAGAAAGAAAAGAGAGTAGACCTCTTTAAAAGCTGGTGCACAGAACAAGTCATTTTTCTAAACCAATTAGGATGCCATTACTCAATAAAGATACAGTAAGAAACTGATGTTCTGGTTCCCTATTGTCTATCAGTCAATATGATAGCATCTACAACATACATCAGTAAGTGCATAGAAAAAAACCCAATCAATGAAAGAATAAACATCCCATGAATGAGACATTTAAAAAAAGACATTTCTACTTTGTTATAGCATTATTTAAGAGTGGGAGGACATTATCCTCTGGTTCCAATGACATTATCTCTTAAATCTACCTCTATTATCTCTAATGTTTACTAGTAAGTAAGTGGAATTCAGCCCAGAAGCATTCAAACACTTCATTGAATAACAATCTGTAGTATTAAATAATATAGCTCTTTTGCAATTACATTTATTTGAAGACTTTATGTATTGAGCAGTAATAATCACCTATGGCAAAAAAATGCATAGAAAATACTTGGTTACAAGAAAAATTTAGCAATCGTGAAGATACTTTAAAGGCTAACTTTCTGAAATCCTAAATAAATGCAGTCATTAAAAAAGAGTATCTAAATGTGTGATTAGAAGTGACTTGTTCGTATTTCTTTCTGAAGGAGTTTAGCAGCTTCTTAGCCCCAAAATTTTACCTTACTCTTGCAGTCTGCTAAAATACTGATAGCTCATAGGTCTTTCGATCTCAGTGTGTTTTGGATTAGGTATTTATCATCTCATCATGATGATACTTTGATCATTAAATGGGTTGTTGATTAAACAAACTAAGTTATGTTGATTGAAGCCTAAGGGAAACAAGTATTTTTGTATCAAGTAGACATAATTCAAAAGCTATTCAATAGCTGCATTACATTCAGGTAAAGGAAGACTTCCATCAAATCAAGATCATCACTGGTGAGTCTGTGTATTTTACACAGAAGTGTATGGGTTATGAGATGTTGTTTTTTCTTACTATATTTATTCAGACATGGCACACGGTGTGCAGGAGAAATTGCCATGCAAGCCAACAATAGAAAATGTGGAGTTGGAGTAGCCTACAATTCCAGAGTTAGAGGTAAGAAAACAAAAATAGCTAGATGTCTGTTGTGAACGGAAATGAGATGGATCCTGGAAGTGCTGAGTATTCTCAGTTACCATTAATCTGAAATACAGATGAAGTCTGAAATACATCACTCTTGCAATATTAGGCTACAAAATCCTGTCTGGCAGGATAATCTGTGCAAAGTGTTACATCTATATGACATCATTTCTTAAGTGCCAACATTCTCTGGAATTTGGTTTATATCTTGACTACAGATAACAACAACAAGTAGATTGAACCCAGAGATAAGACTGTATCTTTAAAGGAATGATGGGTCTACTTCTTACAACTGCTTTTCCTGGAAGGAGGTGGCATGAGGGAGGAGAAGGGACTGAGTAGAGTAAAATTAAGAATACCCTAATTTATAGCCACCCTTGTTTGCAGCATATTGTTTCCATCTACACAATTACATTTGAAAGGTCATGTCAGTCAATATATTCCTACTGCTGTGGCTTTTGTTTCAACAGTTTACTTCATGCTACAATCATAAGTTAATTTTGAAAATAGGTAAAGTCTTGCTTACCCTTCAGTCAATATTGCCATTGTTTTAAGAGATGACTAAAAGTTTAATCCATTCCAGGTTCATGAAACAGACAATCAAAATATCAGTTGCAAATGGATATTTAGTTCAGAGGAAGATACTTGCAAAATCCTAGTTTTTCCATTACTCCCTTTTTAACTTTTAAAAAAAGAGATAATAAGTGGTGATTGACAACTATAACTGCTGTTCCCACCATTTCAGTCTTATGTTTGTAGGTTCCCATTTACTCTACTGAGCTGTCATGGATGTCTGCTTTGCAGTCTGCCTTTGCCATAATACATGACACTGTCATACTCTGTTTAAATAAGATATCTCACTCATAAGATGAAGATGCTAAATTTTCAAAGCAGGGCAAAATGGATGAAGCTGCAAAGATGTTTGAATTCCCGCTGTGCCCATATTTTAAGGCACTTGCATCTACAGAGAAGATCCTTTCACAGTTATTTGTATGTACTCCTCTTGTCTTCATTTGCAAATGCAAACTACAAATCTGTGCTGGGTGATTTGTCTAGAAAAGGAAAATAATGGGACGAAAAGCAATCCAGCAATCCAAATTACCAAGAAATCTGCTTACATCTGGGTGGGGGAGGAGAGGGAATGAAAAAGTTGAAAGAAACTGTAAACTGGCATATATGACCAGCCTGACAGAGATAGGGATGTAACAAAAACACATTTGAAGAACAATGGAAGATAGGAGAAGTTTTCAAAAGATTCAGATAAATTTGGACTGGCTAAACATTGGAAGGCTTTTTTGATGTTCTAAGCTATACAGGATCTGTTTCTTCACAGGCATTTTTTAAAATCCATTAAAGGATGCATTATGCAGTTCTATTTTACATTAGTTTAGGATGACTACTTTAAGTGGTTGCTTGCTTGTAGCAACTGCCATACTGGAAAAATCCATTGGTCCACAGGCAATGCCTTCTCTGACAGTCAGCAGTAGCTGCTTTAGAGAAAGAAACCCTGACATTCGGAATAGCCTGTTCTCTAACCTTCAACATTAGAGGTTCGTTTAACTTTGCCTTGAGAGATAAAACAAAACATTAAAAATTTTTCATTTTCCTTAAAAATACTAACTGTAATAAACTTGGATGTGCTCATTAGTCACATTAATATCTGGCCCTATTCTGAAATCTTTTACTTGATAATTCTGTTCAATACCTTGTGGCTGTGAATCCCACAGGCTTTTCTGTGCACTGTGTGAACAAAATACTTCATAATGTCTGTTTTAAAAGTGATACCTTTCAGTTTCATTTAACATTCACTTGTTGTTTTATATAGAGCTAAGGAATGTGTGCGTATCGATCCCCTTTGGAGTAAAGCAGAGTATATATATTCACACACATCTAATCATAGCACCATACTACGATATTTCTCTGGTACTGCCATGGAAATCACATGATTAAGAAGCTCCATTTAACACAGGACTGGTCTTAGAGTTCCAACAGAGTGACATGTTGATAAAAATAACCTTCTGCCAGGCAGATACATGTATCTCAAATTATGTTGGGCTTTGCCTGCTTTTGAATTTGTGGGACTGATAAAGGAAACAAGCATGTGGAAGAACAGGAAACAGTTTATGCAAGAGCAAATAATTGGAATCTTCTTAGGGAAATATCACTGTAGTCATCAAATCCCTGAGTTGACTTAAACAAGCAGTATTTTTGGAGATTATAAAGCTAAGACAGCAAGTTTTTTGTGAACAGTTTTCATCAGTGTGTTGTCAGTGTTCTTGTTTTCTTCCTTATTATGTTATTTATATGCAGAGTTGGCTTTGTCTTCTTGTTTGAGAAATGTACTAGTACACTTTGAGAAGTGTACTAGTCTCTGCATTCCCAGTATCTCATTATATGTTACAATCTATCATCTGGAGCTTGCAGTCATTTCCACACAGACAAATCTTTGCTCATAGTACAATGGTATGAGAGAATCTCATGATTCTGAGCCAACTGAAAAATGATTTTTCAATAGCTTACAAGTTTATGCCTACCCATGATAAGTGGTGTTTTTTAGTTCCTGAAGCACAGTATATACCTTGATTCTTTTTCCAGCTTTACCAGTGATAGTGGGATAGCAGTGCCACTAATTAACATGAAATAATAAAACCTAGCTTTCTCTCAGAGTAATTAGGAGTGTCTTAGAGGCCAGCCATTTGGGAAAAGAATTATGCTTACAGTCTTTTTTTCCTTTTTTTTCCTTAATGACTGTGAGGACAAAGTGTTTTAGTCAGAACATTCAGAACTACTTCTTTGACCTAAAACTCTTAGAACTCTTAAAGATAAAAGAAATTTTGATAAAACCTATTTAATTTCAATGACTTACTAGCTATTTCAGAAAAGAAGTCTTTGATATAGATCTAACAGAGAGGAAGGAAGAAAGAGAAGTCAAGTAAGAACTCAATGCAATGAGAAAAAGCAGGAACAGTAAATAAAACATAATCTTTTTGGCTCTTTGCAAAAAGAGAAAGGAGTGCAACCAAGATTTTACAAGTTTGTTTTTAATATTTGTAAAGAGCACTGAGCTCTGTAAATAAAGGGTAGGTATACTGTTTTACCCTGGCATTATAACTGTGCAGAGTATTATTTAAATGAAAAGCAGTAGGCCATGGTGCAATAATTATGTATTAATTTTGCTGAAAATTTTACAGTTAACAAAGACAAAAGAGAGGGAACAAAATAAATGCAGTCTTGTTTTTTTCTGTTAAGGTATACGTATGCTGGATGGAATAGTCACTGATGCCATTGAAGCCAGTTCAATTGGTTTCAATCCAGAACATGTGGATATTTACAGCGCAAGCTGGGGCCCTAATGATGATGGTAAAACTGTAGAGGGACCTGGCAGACTGGCACAGAAGGCTTTTGAGTATGGGATAAAACAGGTATGACACCTAAGAGAAAGCTACAGTGAAATATGGCAGGGAACAGAATTTTAAAACAGTTCTTATCAGGGAGGAAATGAAAATGGTTTGTGCTCTGTTTGCTCAAACACATTTGAAAAGGGGGAAAGTGATTTTAATAGTACAGGTAGAGAAAATACCAGCCAAAACATAACTTTTAAAAAAGCACCATTAGAGCTTTTAAAGCTGGTTTTAAGCTGGTATTCTCCACAGATAAGCTTTCTTTTTCCATCCTTACTTTTGCTGCCTTTGTCTTGCCCTACCCCGACCCTTTTCTGCCTGCTTGTTTTGCTCTGAAGAGTAATTGGATTTCTGCACTGAAAGCCTATAAAAATTTTATACAAAAATTCTGATTTGTGAATATTTTACTTTGTGAAATAATGATGCGTTTTAGCACCCTGTGGATGGGCTTGTATTGTGTTAATTACATTAGTTTATAAGTTGGTGGATATCGTGATCCAATTAAAATGAAGATAGTAAAAATGCATGATGGAGAGTACAGAAAACAGTGCTTTTACAAATCTTTTTTCTGTCCTCTTTTGATCTGGTTGGATGATAAGTAGGGTGCAGACAGAGCTATTGGAGATATATATACATAAAGTGTTCTTGCCAGTGAGGTGAAAAGACATCTAAAGATGGCCAGGTAGTAATACAGAGAGGGAGACTGAATCAGAGATGAGAAAGGAGAGAAATGGAGGAGTGCTTTAAGGCCAGAAACAAAGAAAAAGAGGATTTTGGGAAAAAAAAGTCAGTTAACATTAACTTAGCAGACAGAAGGAGAGAAGAAGAAAAAATAATAGTCTTACAACTGACAGGCATACTCTGAGGAAAGAATGGGGACTGAGATGAGTGGGCTGGTGATAAACAGAGACCTAAGCCCATAAGTAGGCAGCAAGAGAAGAGGAAGAACTGAAGACAAGAATTAGGGAGCCAGTGTTCAGTGGTCTTACTCTGAAAAAGCAAGTTATTTGGTGAAGAATATAAATCTTTTTTACAGCTTGTTTTATTTATTAGGGGAACTAAATTTACCTATTAATTTGCCAGGCTTCCTTTTGCAAGGATCTGGATGCTCTCCATTCCCATTAAAGTCAGTCAAAGATGGAGTTGCCAACCAGTTTCATCCCTGAGCCCTTCGTCGCTGGCCCAGTAAAGCACTTGAATGCTTAGCCTTAAGCATCTGAGAGACATTAGTAGCACTTCAAGTGAAATCAAAACAGGTGCTCACATATACCAGTGATTTACTGGACTGCAGCCTTTATTCTCAGAAGAAGATATCCCTTTTACTGTGACTGACGTAGCTTGTTGTTCCCATTTTAGCAATTATATTACAAAGAGTACATCTTATTTTTCTGTTTCTTTATTTTTAATGTTTTAAGTGCTGCAAATGTCTCTTAGCCCTTACACGAGTAACTTCAAATCTCGTCTGAGAGGGGATGATAAAAATCTGTATCTCCAACTGCTGTTTGCAGTGAATAGACATGTATTAATACCATATGAAAATATAAAGTTTTGCTCTTTGCATGAAATAGATTCTTTCCTCTGAAGGACTAGCACAGTTTAAGACAGAATAGCTGATTGTTTCCTCTGTGATAGCTGTGGTGGTTTACATGCTGCTGCAGCAATCCACTGTCAGCTGTCAGCATCAATATTATTAGCTGCTGCTACCTCAGTATACACTGGAGAACAGAGCAGGGAATGAAAGTGGTTGTGTCCTGAGAGACTGATGGTGCTGGCCCACAAATTTGTAAGAGAAGGAAGGCTTTCCAATCAGATGTGCTTACTGGTTCACTGTTTTTCAGCAAGTGAATGCCAAACAGTGAAAGGCTTCATTACAAAAAGGAATTGTGTGGAAAACTCATATCATACATCATTCATACCACTTACCCATATCTCTCTGATTACAAGAAATGCAAGTGAAATAACTCCTGAGGAACTTGCCATTTCTTTAAAAAAATAGGGATTTTTTCCGAGAAATGCTCAGCACCATGCAGCAGCATATGGAAAAACCTGTTCATCACAGACCCTTCTTTTAACTCTAAAATCTATTTTGAGGAAAGTTGCTGTACCTGGGACACTAAATCTAGACTAGACAAAATAAAAGATGTAGATAAACTAAAAAAATGTACTATAGGGTGTGAAGTAGGTTATATCATCTAGCTGGTTTCTTCTCTCTCTAACTTCTATGGTACATATGGAAAATTGTCTTTTCCATATGAAAATGTTTGGGATATTGTGCTATCATTGTGGAAAGGGGGTTGTTAAGAATATATTGCAGAGACCAAAAACTTTATTTTCTCTTTGATAATCACTCATTTCTTCTAGAGCCAAAATGGAAAAGGCTCCATTTTTGTATGGGCTTCTGGCAATGGAGGTCATTAGGGTGACAATTGTGACTGTGATGGTTACACTGATAGTATCTACACTATCTCCATTAGCAGTGCTTCTCAGCAAGGCCTTTCTCCCTGGTATGCAGAGAAGTGCTCTTCAACTCTGGCCATAGCATAAAGCAGTGGGGATTATACTGACCAAAGAATTGTAGGTTGTTTTTACCAGATTCAGAAAAAACATAGAAATGTATTATATATGAAAATAACAAGGGCTTTTAAATGCCTCATTTCAAGTGCCTGCTTTACTTATGTTTTACATGCTTAATACTTTCATCTTGAAACACTGAGGGATTAGTAATCCGAAAAGTGATTATATTTCCAGAACATCGTCTACTGTAAAGCAATGGCTAAACAATATCACTGTATCAAGACAGTTATATCAGCATGCTGAAATGTTCTGGTGCTTGTGTATGACAGAGGTCTCTACATGAAGTTTGATATGGACCCATTCTTCAAAAAGGGCAGATCTCGTCTGTTGGGTTAGGATCTGATACAGAATTAATGGGATTGTAACAATAAAAAATCAAGAGAGATTTAGAATATAAAGAAAAGGAACTTATGGAGTTCGTGTACCCATATGAGTCAGTACCTCTGGTATATGTTGCCATTCTACCACTTACCTTCTGTAAGATTTTCAGCCCCTCCCTTCCCACTGATGACAGCAAAAATGGTACTTCCAAGCTTGTAAAAGGTACTCAGGAAGCAGACAAATCAGTCTCTGTGACATCATTAACTGTGTAAGAAAAAATTTGTCCTAAATAAATTTGCTGTGATAAAATAATATTCAAGGACCTATAATCCCTGTTCTGCTCTGGTTGATGCTTATTTTACAATAAACTACATGGATGGGGATTAAAATAATGTCAGTGCTGGTTAGTCAAGAGATCAGTCCTTCCTAAGTGGATTCACTTCATAGCTGAGATGTAAAGGTCTCAGTGTACCCCCTTTCCATATCTTTGGATACCTGGGCAGATGAATTTGGTATTTAATTTCCAAATAAGGCACATGTTTCATTGAAAATTATAGTTCTGCTGAAGAGGGAGCAGAACACTAATACTAATCTTATGAGTAATATTCAAGCAGGCAGTAATTTTAAATGTTCTAGACCCAACACAGTGATCTGTTTTTATGATTCATCACTAAGCCCAAAACACTTATTGTGAAACCTTAAAGTAAGATATTCAATGATGTGGCAGTATTTTGTTCCAACACAAAGCATTTTGATACAAAAATTATAGTTGAAGTAAAAAGAGTGGATTGAAATATGAATGGATTTAAACATCCATCACTGTCTGCTGGTGAGGAATGTATTAAAGGATACATGGTTATGTTTGTGAGTGTGGATATGACTGTATTTACAACTGTTTTTTTCATGCAATTTGGGTTTTGTTGTTTTTATATCAGAAAAGTGCTGATGTTCACAATGAATGTACAGAGATTCACACTGGGACCTCTGCATCTGCACCGCTTGCAGCAGAAATTTTTGCTCTAGCTCTGGAAGCAAAGATGTCCTAAAATTACCATTGAAACTCCTCACTCTCAGCCATCCCACTATTTTCCCTCAAACATTGTCTATTTAAAAGTGGCACCATTTCATGCTGCAGCTCCACTTTATGTCAGTCAAACTTCCTCAGTCTGATGACAAAAATGAGCAGCTACTTGCATCAACACCTACCTAGTGAAGCAGAGCCAACATAAATAAGATGATGACCAAGGAATTTTAGACCTTTTTGTGCACTGGCAACAATTGTTTACTGAGTTCCAGTCAATTGCACTTAAAGGCAGTGAGGCTGCATATGTATCAGGAGAATGTAATTTGAAGACAGTAAGTTGCAGAAGTTCAAGTGAAGTCTTTATTCAGTTTGCAGAACCTTTGCTGCTGGTGATGGGACATAAAATGCAAAATATCCATGCTCGAATGTCAGAGCAGGCAGGTGCAAATCCTGTAGAGCTGGTAGTCAGAATATATGACTTGGAGGGGAAAAGAGGAGAGGAGAGGACAGGACAATGGTCTTTTCACAGAAAACGCTTCAGGCATTAGGGCTTAGGCATATTACTTGAAAGATGTAGGTTCAGCACCCTATTTTATCGCATACTATTTGATTACATAAGCCAAGATACTTAGGGCCATATTGTAAAGGGTATAGTTAACCACAGATATAATCAAATGCCCAGTGAATTTTCAAAGTCTGTATCCCAAAAAGACTGGTAAGAGATGTCAATTTTGCTGGATGTCTTTAAATGCCTAAATAATTTTGAACAATTGAGCTCTAATCTTGCTAGGTATCAGTTCTTCATTTACACAGAGGTTTTGTCTACCTACAGAAGTATTATGAAGATAAGGATGTGACATGCTCTACATTTTAAAACAATGGGGTCATATACATTCCTAAACGTGTTCTGTTGCACACTAATAACTGAGAGAAAATTGATAGATAGTCCTGAAACAATTAACCAGGAACATTTTCTCAACAGCCCAAATCTAACCTGGAAGGATATGCAGCACTTGGTAGTCTGGACTTCAGAATATGATCCACTGGCTAGCAATCCAGGATGGAAAAATAATGGAGCAGGACTGATGGTAAACAGTCGATTTGGGTTTGGATTACTCAATGCCAATGCACTGGTGGATTTAGCTGATCCTAAAACATGGAAAGGAGTACC